TCCCTATCCTGTGGCCCTGGTTTAATGTAATTGGGCTTTTTGGGGGGGGGGGGCAGTTCAAAGTTTAATCACTTTTACGCAGTTATTAGGAAATGTGTTTTTTAAGTGGGTTTCTTAATTTGACATAGACATATTAGACAAACTAAACACAGTAAGTTAGAATTAGAAATAGTTATTGAATATTTCTATACATGTACAATTTATGTTGTCAATGAATACATACATTGGCAGCATGTTTCTTTGAACACAAATTCTATAAAATCTGAATTTAAATCAATGTAATTGTTTCTAGTGTGCAGGTGTCTTGCAGCCAAGTTTACTTAAAATATTTTTTTATTATTATTTTTAAAGAATCTGTTTTTTGTGTAGGTCTACCACTACACTTGTTTTAAATTTGGATTTGCTCAGTGTAAGTATTTGCAATTATCTGATATCAAGAATCAGATTCTAACACATTGCCTTTAGTCAACCAGACTACATTCATAACTATTCTTTGGTTATAAAAGGTTTTTGTCTGTACCATTTCATTAAATTTTTTTACATTGTACTTGAAATTCTACAACACAAGTTATTTAAAAGTAGAAATAGGTTTTTCCAAATTTATCCAGACACAAGACAGACTTCCTTCAGACAGTGATAGTTACACTAATATGGAGTAGCTATTTACTGAGGTGATTCTTTGGTCCTGCCCATACTTGTCATGGAATTAGGAAGGTGTCTTGATGAAAGTTTACTGTGCATCATTGTTCTGACCTGTGATTTTATAACCAATTTGTTAAAAAGTTTTTTCCTGTTTTGTGTAGGTATTTCCATACCATGTATCTGGGAATACGGAGTCGTCAGGGTTCGAAGTCAGAACATTGGCAATACTACTGGAAGATGGTGTATGAGTTCGCTGATGTGAGCATGTTGCATTTACTGGCCACCTTTCTGGAGAGTGCACCTCAGCTGGTGTTGCAGCTGTGCATCATCATACAAACACACAATCTTCAGGCTGTTCAAGGTAACCCCCCACACCTTGTAACTGCTACTTTCTATTCAGTAGATTTACATAACACCAATTCTCAAAAAAGGTAATAAAAATAAATCTAGTATGTTTACAAATAATTTTAAAATGTTATGTATGAATTTAATCTCGTGCAGTCTTTTATCAGCATGATACGCTCTTCAGCAGCAATTCTCAAGCTTTATGTTCAAATATCAGAATATGATTTTTGGATCAACTCAAAGGCCAGGACCAAGAAGTGAAAAGCACTTTCCTTCTATTCATTTTACTTACAACTTAAAAAGAAATTACGTTTTATGCCTACAATTGCCTGTTTGTGACTCAAATTGTGATGGTAATACATAATTACCATCACAATTACCAAGAAAATGAAAGATAAACCAAGAGTGTTTACTGTCGGAGGGTTGCCACTTTTCAGAAATCAAAATAAGGGACGCCCACTAATGCTCATCGTCCTAGTCTCATATATTCAATATTTTCTCTAAATTAAAACTTTTTCCTCACCTGTTAAATGTGAAACCCTTGAACCTTGTTATCTATGGCTGTCATAGGGTTGAATTAACCACTAAACATTACGCCCTTTTTTCAGATTCTTTGCATGATTGCAGTATTTTCCTGACCACTGATATTCCTGACTCAATGGAGAGCAATGACGTGTGTGTGTGGCGCACGATAATTCACGTAATGTCCAGTCCAGTAATGTATATATATATATATATATATATATATATATATATATATATATATATATATATATATATATATATATATATATATATATATCCATCCATATATGTGGATGGATATATATTGGTCTCGAGACAGGTCTCGAGACCAAGACCGATCTCGAGTACTACAACACTGGCTCACACTAATAGACAAAGTCTCTGTTCCTTTGTAAGTTAAGTCAGGATGTGTTCTTTTACCAATTGTGTTTCATGCACCATGTTATAACTAAAATCTGATGAAAATGAAGACCTTTGCTTTGATACAGTAAATGTGATAATGCTTTTATTTTTCTATTCTCTTTAAAAATGTTTTTCAAGGAAATTTACAGCACATTTATTTACATTTAGTTGCACAAAAGAAATAAACTACTCATCCAGAAAACCAGTATTGGTAGAAAAATTTCATATTGAAAAATCCTTTGTACTTTTTTTTTAATTCACATTTTCCATTAAAATTAAAAAATCCTTCCCTTTTTAAGGAGAGCTAATTTCCTGCTAATTAATTATTTATTTGTGGCTTTAAACAATATAATAATGGTTTATATTGACACTATGTCAGTAAATTTTAACAATTTAGATTTTATGAATAGTGTGTTTGTATGATTTAAATAACCAGCCTCAATGATTAGACAAAACCAGCAAATAAAACATTTAACCAGCAAGTTCTTTAGTACTAGATTTCTAAATGTGCGGAATATAACCCAACTCAGAAATCATACAAAATCTATTTTCCTGATTTATTGAAGAAGACTCAATTGGATTCTTACAGCCTGCACCTGAATGTCCCATTCCACTTCCTTCCATAGATTATCCACTGCAGCTAGTAGCCTGGGTCAGTTAGTTTCCAATAACTTATTTATGAATTGGTTGCTCTTCTCATCTCTCAACTGCCTCAAGAAACAGATCCAGGTTTGGATTAGTGATCCCTTTAAGTCTCCAGGATTCTGTTTTAATGACTTCTGGTAGACTAAGAAAACCTGGAAACACTTCCCATAATGTTTGCATACCATGCAATAAGATGATTTTAATGTTGAATGACCTTTGAATTACAGAGGCACACTGTAAAGCTGCTTAGAGTTGTCTTGTTCAGGGAATGATTTGAACCAGTCAGTCAGTCATTAAACCATCAGGGAGAAAAATACCCTGGCATCTGTCATGATCCGTGTTTGTGTATTCATTTTTAGGGTTTTCTGTGTTCAGTTTCTGTCCTGTGAGTCTCTGTCTCTGCGTCTTCCCCGTTGATTGTTCCCAGATGTGTTTCGTTCCCTTGATTACCCCGTGTGTATTTAAGTCCACCTGTTGTCTTTGTCTCTTGTTGGGTCCTTGTCTTATGTCTGTTACTTCGTCTGCCGGCACAGTAGTACTGTGAAGTCCTGTGTCAGCATTTGCTCGTTTTTGTCAGTCTCATTAATTCAGTTGCTACCGGTCCTGAGCCTGTGTGTTCTGCTCTGCCATGCTGCCTGTAATTTGGACTGAGGAGCATTTTCATTAAATTCATTGTTTTCGTCAACATCCTGGGTCTACCTGCGTCTCTCCTCACCACCACCAACCACCACTCCATGACAGCATCTTTCTGTGTATCTAGTAAACATAAGAAAACTTACAATGATAATAACATACAGTAAACTATTTCATTTCATTAATGTCTTTCACTTATAAGTTGTTTCATGGTTAACTAATAGATTTATATAATGAAAGTATTTGTGTTTTCATAGAAATATAGTCCTAAACTAGATGCAAAATGAGAAAATTTATGGTAAATTGTTCTGCTAAAACCACCTCTTAAACTGTGGAAAACTTTTATGGTGATATCCACAATATTTTATGTCCATAAAAATATAGTTGCATTTATGTCTAATCTGGTAAACCCTAACCAGAAATTTAGAGGATTTAATGTTTGTAATTTGTGAAAAATTTACATCACATAAATTAATGTCATTGATGTAAGTCAACACCTAATATTCTGAGTAGAACTTTAACTTTCAGAGTTTCTTTTAGGAACACATTTATCTTCTTCAAATTGTGTGGGGAAAAAAACAGGAGCAGATTTTAATGTTCAGTTAGAAGCATTTTCAATTGTTTGGATCAGTCAGTTTTTGATGTGTGTGTAATTTTAACATTTGCACATTATTGTAGAAGAGAGCTGAGCAGTCGCTTTCTACCTGTTTTTGCTTGGAGAACTTAGTACAGAATTTAACAGTACGAATTCGTAACAAAGATGAAATTGAAAGACCATAAGTTTTTTAGTAGTGAGGAAAAAAAAAACTTTGCTAGCATAATGCATGTTTTTTCTGACTTTACTGCAGTCACATACTATTAACAAACAACAACAATAACAAAAAGAGACTGTCAGCTTTATTTTTTAATAACTTGTTACTTGCAAAAGGGAAAAGGTAACAGAGATGAAAACTTGTGTCCTGTATGGCTGTAAGTACATCCTTGACTATAAACTAAGCATGTTCTTATTTCACCGATGCAAAAACTTACATTAGACGAAGCAGAAGGAAGTTTGCTGTGTGGTAGTTAGAAGGTTGGATTAAGCAAAGTCCTGCCTCTGAGGTAATAAAAAAAATCTACTAAATTAACATTTCAGCTAAACTGCCCAATCACCTTTTCACCCTAATGCAGTAACAACTGACAGACATAAACTGTTGGTGATGACATATTCACTAAAGGGATTTGTTATAAAGAATGGTTCACTTGTTAATTTAAGCAATGTGAAAATGATAAATGTTCCCTTTTGAAACTTTATCTGTACTGATTTTTGTAACAAGATCATTCAAAGTGCTAAAATATTCATACAACTCGAGAGAGAAAAAGTGCAGGAGCGCGTAGTAAATGTAAAAAAGTAAATAACCACATATCTCAATATATTCAATGTTTCCAATAGATTGACAAGTATATGGGGTACATGGTTTATAAAGTTAAGGACTAGAAAAAAAATCTGAAAAGTGTGGTGGACTTGTGGATCTACTGATGCAGTTTTGCTTGAGAATGCATTTGGAGTCCAGGTCTGAGTGGATATGTTTCTGTGGTGATGTTTTCCAGTTTTCTTTTGTTTGTTTTTCTTTCCAACTTTACTCCTTTCAGGGAGGTTTATTTCCGACAACACTTGATGCTAGCACATAACTGCATGTATGTTCTTGCCCTTGTGTTTTGAAGATGGCAACCAGTAATTGAACCATAGATGGTACTAATTGGATTTTAGGAAAGGTATTGAAGAAAAATAAGGTTGGATGATTGAATAGAATCACTAACAGCATGGGCAATGCATTATTTTATTTTATTTTATTTTATTTTATTTTATGGTTTTGCTGTGTCTGCCTCTCGGTGCATAATCAGACAGGATGATAAAAATGTTTCTCGTATGTCTTGCGCAGGTAATGGTAGTTGTAGAGTAAACATAGAGGTCAGTTATACAGCTTGTTTCAGCCACAGAAAACAGAAAAAACAACCAAATATTAAAATAGTCTTCCATAAACTAATTTTAAATAACAGACTCTTCTTCCCTGTGTTTAAGTCTGGCACACATGAACAAGAAGATTTTTTAAAGCTGGTTAATTTTGGTTTATGATGAAATGCACAAAACTAATCTTTAATTAGGCATTTATTTTTATATGGGGTCAGGTTTGACTAGAGGCCAAGCTATCAAACTTCCACTCAATCCTGTAATTCTTGTGCTCTGTCCTAATCTCTATGAAGAAGTATGTTCTTTAATTGTTTCCTAGTGCTATTGTGTTTTTCTTTTATTTCTCTAATAGGAGAGGAGTGTGAAATGATAAATGGACAACTAAGAAAACTTGACAGAAAAAAAACTAAAGACATAGTAAGCAATTATAACTTAATTTAAAATGATTAACATGTACTAATATTAATAATTTTGTTTGGCTTATTAAATACTTGTTGAGTTAGGGAACAGTAGAACCAGATTTCCTTGACTTTTAGTTTTTTAATAAGCAACGGCTGTTGGAGACAGGCTGCTGAGTTATCTGATACAAGCCGAGTGCAGCACAGAGAAAGAAACAGCAAACATTTGTTCATAAGATTAAACTATTATAATAATTATAACAGTATGCTTGTTATACCGGTAAACTGTTATACCGTTTACTTGCATAATATTGCCTTAAAAGTAGAGAGGGCCTTGACAATTTTAGTAAATTCAAGCTGGTGACGTCCTAGTCCGAGTTAGATGACAACACAACTGGACAACAGCTGATGGAAATGAAATGTGTGTCACAGAAGGAGCCCGGAGGGATGAAGGCTGCTAAC